ATTCGATGAGTCTACAGTTTCTTGAAGGAGATTGAACTCCAGAAGAAGTGGCTTAAACATTATGGTATCGTCTGTTCCACTTCATTTGACATAAGGCATTCACAATCTAGGAGAGAGTCCCAACCAAGAAGTGTCCAGATTTCTTGAGTAAACCACTCTCCTGGGGATTCCCGAGGGTTGATCGATGGCTCCGGGCAGTTAGTATTGGAAGATATCCCACAAGGGAAGTTCAATGAAGTCCCAAGTGAAAAATCATCAGCGCCAAATACACCTTTGAGAAGGGTGTTTTGTAGCTTGGTTTTAGCATTTTCAGCTAAACTTCTCTCTAGTGTGGCATTTTTTGAATCTGCTGTTAGCTCGGACACTTTCCGGTGCTCATCCAGATATAAAATCGCCTGCTTTAGAAGCTGTATTAAATGTTTCGAGTTCCAGACTGCGGCTATTTCTGCGGTATCAGGACCTGGAGGCCTTGTATCGTTGTAACTTGCTGTTAAACATCCTGGGAGGGCCAATTTGGGATTGACAGTAGTTGGTTCTGTATCGTATGATAGGTCTCTGAAAGTGAAAAGTCCGAGTATCATTCCAACATGCTCTAGGATCACAAATGTGAGGGCTTCTAGTAAGTCTTTGTACTCAAGTTTTGCTGGATCTAACGATCCAAACATGGTAAATGCCATTTTTGCAAACCAACCGAGCGTACTCTCGATCTTTGGAGCGGGTTTGATAGAAGCTTTCTTCCTTTTCTTTGTTGGCCTGGCTTTTGATTTTTGACCAGGTTGTGCCAGAAACCTTTCGTATGCTTTCTCCGGATCTGCTTCCAGTAGTGCATAATCATATGATTGCAGGATTACTCGTTGGAATAACTTGGCAATGTGATAAACAATGGATTTAGTGCTTGTGGTGGCATCACGTAGACCCGCTGTTCTGCTTAGGCCTTGTAAAATAGTGGGAAATATAACATCGAGGAATCTGGAGATGTCTTGTATGGGGAACTTGGTAGTTTGCTTGCTTCCTTTTGCCGGTGGCTTTTTAGTTATTTCTTCTTGTACCGCTAAAAGCAAAGCTGTTTCAGCTCCTCTGCATACGGATTCTATAGCTAGTGCTATAGCCTCAGGGTTTGTTTTCTTCCGAAGTAGAGTCTTCAACGTATGGAAACGTCGCACTAATGGTGTCGTGACTAAATTTATATTAGCAAAATGTTAAAATGAAAATACTATCAAGTGCCCATACTGTCTTCACAAAACTCAAGGTTCCTAGAACCGTGGCTTAGCTGTATTTTATCAGGGGATCGAACACATGTCCATGATTCTATACTCATTGTTTTCGCCCTCTTTTTCGGGCGGTTTGATGACGGAAGCTTAGAGTTACCTGGGACGCTTTGTTCCGTTATACTAATAGTTGCATCCCATTTACCCTGTAACAAACGGGCTTCATTGCGTTGCTCCAATTCATATATTTTGTCCAAGAGTTTGCTCTGTGCAGCTTCTGACTTCTCGTATGCCTCACGCCAGAATTTGGTACTGTCAATGTGAGATTCCGGGCAAGCAGGTTCAGGCCTGGCTCTTTTCCCGGCAGTGATGTAGCTTCTGAGACTCAGTATATGATCTATAATATACCCCGTTAGGAAAACCATGAAGCTGGCGTATCGCCATGACTGTGACTAGTAAATTCGAACCTCGAACATTCGTGCCTTGGGGTTTTGACTTAACCATAGCCAGCGCAAGCGCTATCTGAAACTGCCAAGGGCAGCTCTGGTCCATGAATTCCATAGATTCACTCTTTGCTCCTCGTATAAAGGGCAGGAAAGGTTGGGCAAAGTCGCAGATGGATGTTGAATGTCAACACTTTGGCTGGCTGTCGTCAAATTAAGCAATGCGCTGGGGTACACCGCCTTTCCGCATTGGGCCATCATCCAGCGGCAGATTTGTGTCTTTATCGTCAAAGAATAAAAACTTTATGAAGCAACTTGAATGTTGGCTGGCATATATAATGTTGGTTATATATGCAAAGAAGAAGGGTATAGCTTTAGCGGTGATTGCAAACTCAGATGCCATTGCAAAGCCCAGTCTGGCCTGCTGATCAAGTATGTGAACCTAACTGCAAGAAGTTTGTATAATGGCGCCTGGTAATAGTAAATTAGAAATTTGTAACAGCGGTGGTGGTATAACATGTTCATACGGAGAGCTCGTTGGTCTTTTACTCCTTGGTTTACGGAGTACATTGAAATAAATAGATGGAGGGTTAAGAATAAGTTGGTTGGCTGGTGGTTGATTGGTTGAGAGATGATGACTAAGTGAGGTTTAAGCTATTGAGGCTCTGTTGAAAGACGGCTTTCTTCGAGATCCAAACAATTCCATAAAGCACACATTCTCAGCTTACTTCAAGCTTTTACAAGCTGTACCCGACACTATGGCGCCATCCGATGACCTAAAGTCGCATGCTGCGTCCTCTCATGACTTCTATGGCCTATTGGGCCTCGGCCCTACCGCGGTTGACAGTGAGATCAGACGAGCATACCGAAGGACAGCTCTCAAATACCATCCTGATAAGATCGCAAATCCTACGCCGGCAGATATCGACAAATTTCATCTCCTCCAAATCGCATATGATGTTTTATCTGAACCTTCGGTACGTCAGCTATATGACAATGCAAGGGAGGCCCGAGAACGAAAGAAACGGGAGAATGAGTTACTTGAAGGAGCCCGGAGGAAGATGAAGGAAGATCTGGAGGCAAGAGAACGAGGGGTTAAACGGCCCTGGGGATTTGCTGGGCCCGGTGGAGAACGTGACGATTTACAGGCAGCAGAGGATAAACTGGAGCAGGAAATAAGACGACTTGCAGAAGATGGGAAGAGAAGGCGACGGGAAAAGGAGGAACTCATGCGGAGTCAAGTCTTAGAAGAGGAGGAGAGATTAGAAAGAGAAGCGGAGGAGCTGGAGGCTAAAAAGCAAGGAAAATCAAAGAACAGTGCACCTCCTGCCAATATAGGCGGAACAGCCGTGCCAGAGATAGATCGAACTGTAAAAGTTCGATGGATAAGGGAGGGAGTTGGCCTTGATGTGGATAAGGACCAGCTAGAGTCGTTATTTTCGACGTTTGGCAAAGTGGAAAGTACCTTCACTTTAAAGGATAAGCGGCAGCGGGTGGGTGATCAGCGAGAGAAGAAAACTGTTGCTACTGGCGTTGTAGTTTTTACTTCTGTAGTTGGTGCCCATGCAGCTGTTGAAGATCGATCTAAACACCAAGGTGGTGCATGGGATGTTATCGAGTCCGTCGCTTGGGCGTCGAACAAACAGCCGGATTGGGATGCCTACAGGACCTCTTCCCCTGGGCCCGCAGAGTTGCACAGCAAGGCAGAAGAGCCAACTGCTGCAGCTGCTTCTGAACCTGATAAATCGCAGCCACAATCGGCCAACCGGCCAAAGCGATTCACCATGGCCGACTTAAACCCACAGAGGGAGAAATCGGAAGATATCAAAAAAGGTGGCAAGGCTCCTTCATTTGGATCCTTCTCATCCGCTGGTTCTGGCGCTAGCCTTGGAGTGAGTGGCCCAAGTTTAGAGGAGATCACATTGATTCGGCTAAAAAATGCTGAAAGGAAGAGGCTTGAAGAACAAATCCGGAAAGAGGATGAAGCTGCCGCCCTCGGAAATGCTAATTCTGCGCAGTGATTTCACTTTTGATAAATTGTATTATATATTACCTAGTTTCCCCCCTTTTTTTGCGATGATACCCCAATTTTTATTCACATGTAGACTAGGTAGTAAGGTGATCAGACCTTAAACTAACGGATTTGATGATGTAAATTGCTGGCATTGATCCCCTAAGGGCAAAGCCAGCGTGATGTATAGAGTTGAAAAGGAGCATTGATATGGACATTTTACCAAAGTGAATGTCCTTTCCACCAAACTGCCCACATAACTGGAACGGCCAGACCCAACACAGAAAAGCCGGCAGTCATTTCCACAACTGCCCATACCCATAAGGTGCCGAGGGCCGGAGTCTTCTTCATTGCGGCGTAGTAAGATGCCTCATTCGCCATGGCAATTAGCCTCGAACCCAAGAAGATGGAAATCGTTAAAAAGATAATATTGTGAGGAGTAGGTGGGAATAAAGCCAGTATCAGAGACTTTCTTGTCGTGAGTTGTCCGGATGATTCACTTGCAGTTTTCTTGCCTGACCCGGGATATAATGAGCGCAAGGATATCTTGGGAAATGTAACTATGTGTCCGTGGACGAAATGGATGAGAAGTGTCATAACTGGAAATGCCACAACCAAAGTTTCAAAAAGTATTCTATTAAGTTCGATCTCCTGGGCGAATTGATGCGCGGCAAGAAATGATAGAGTGAAGTGAATGCAGGAAAGCGACAGAGAAAGAAACATTGTATCTGCTATTGGTGGCAGTGACTCTGAAGATTCTGATTCTGCGGTGGAGGGTGTGATATCCGAGGTGCCTGGGAGAGGGGAGTGGATGATTTCGCCGTCTGCATTCATATGAACGTATTGCATTTTGGGAGGTTGTTTCCCATCATTGAACGATGATTGCTTGCCCTGGGATGCAAGTAGTTCGGCCTGTCGTTCTGCAGCAATTTCATATAACGTTTTCTGGCCTGAGGGCGCCTTTTTGTTGTGGTCAACAGGGGCAAGGGGTATTGATGGGCCATCAGAAGGCTTTGTCTTTTGACGTCGGGTAGCCATATTGGATATAGGGTAAATGGAAATGCAAAAACTTCAATACTTTGTAACTGGCGACTTATTGTCTTATATGGATAGGTACTGCCAAAAAGGGCTGCTTTCTATCAAGTTTGGCCTTGGTAACGGGAAAGCGAAGTTTGATGTCAAACACGATTATATAATGGATTGCCATCATCCACGTGACGCTACCACGTGATGAGTATGGGGAAATTAAGGTTCAGATTGACGGGAGCTAGAGCTAATACGGTCAAGACTTTCTGGGCATAATTCATGACTAATATCATCATCATTATCACGTGATTTATTTATGTAATCATTCCAACTCGGCGGTTTCGCCAAAAAGTCCGTGATCGCAGACATAACAAAACATTGTACGCTGAGAAGTAAAAATATCGGATCTCGAGTTAGCCGCCAGGGATTGTGCAGAGTGCAGGAGAAGTACCTGCAAGGAAGCGCATGCTGCAAGGGGTTTCCGGCATCCGAACTAGGCTTTTGAGGTCCGCTGCACCTCTTCAGATCAACTAGCAGCTTATAGTTAGTGCTTCACCCCCCGCTCCCGCGCCCCCTTATTCCTTTTCGCGGGATTAGATAGTTACAACCACCAGGTTAATGACACGTTACATCTTCGCGCTTATCCTTGGTATTGAGTCGCCATTACAGCGCTTCCCCTGCACATGAGGATCGTGTGGGTTGTTTTTCTATCTCAAGCAATCGTCCTGCGTTGAATGTGGTTGTGGAGTGTTACTGCTATGCAGTGCTTGTTGACGCATACTCAATTGAAAGAGAAAGCTACTATACTGCATTGCTATAGCTACGGAGAGGTCTCAATGCAATTTTAGCGCATACAATTGCGTCCGTTACTTGACTACCTATAACGGGAGGCCATTACCTTCATTTATCTACCCACGAACTGTCTGCGTCAATTGAGCCTTCACATTGAGCCTTTGGAACATAACGGGATACGAAATAGCCATGAACTTCACATTTACCCTGTTTTCGGTAGCCATATTTCCTCTGGCTCTGTTTGCTATCTGGACTCTGTCGGCAACGGGGCCGTCATCACCCTTTGGGCGTGGATTTCCAACCTTAACCAACAAACGGATATGCCTCTTGATTGCCCATCCAGATGATGAAGCTATGTTCTTTGCACCGACCCTGTTAGCCCTTACAAAGCCTGAGCTGGGAAACCATGTTAAGATACTTTGTCTAAGTTCAGGTATATATACTCATCAACCCTTGATTTGACTGCGGAATGCCTAATTAATTGAATTGTGTATATAGGTGATGCAGCTGGTCTCGGGCACATTCGCAAGCAAGAACTCCAGAAGAGCGCACTCCGACTTGGCTTGCGCAATGAATCGGATGTTTTTATTGTAGATGATCCAAGCCGGTTCCCAGATAGCATGACTGCTACCTGGTCCGAAGACAATGTTTCTGGCCTTCTCGCTTCTGCATTTGCCCCTAATATTGCCGCTCAAGCATCATCTCAGTCGGCGCCGGTAGCAACTATCGACATACTTCTTACTTTTGATCAGTCAGGTGTTAGCAATCATCCGAACCACCGGTCCCTCTACCACGGGGCACGCGCATTCCTGAAGGCTCTAATGCGTGGAAGTTCTAACCACCCTTGCCCTGTCACTTTATACACCCTCATTTCGACAAACCTGGCAAGAAAATACATAGGTGTCTTTGACGCTCCTATAGCCATGCTAAATGGCGTAATAAGCTATGCATCGGGTGGCTCTGGTGCGAAGGACACACGTTCAACATCAACATCTAAAACCCAGGAGCTAAGAGGAGTCCGTGAACAACCACCAGCAAACAGGTTACTTTTCGTCAATTCTGTAGCCGACTGGCTTTCCGGATGGAAGGCTATGGTGTATGCACATAAGAGTCAGATGGTCTGGTTTAGGTGGGGATGGATTACGGTAGGAAGATACATGGTTGTTAATGATCTGAAGAGAGAGGTGGTATAAAGCCAATGTTGGTTTTATCTATACCCAACATTTTACTTGGAAAGGCAGTCCAAATAACTATTTTGTCAATACTTTCTATCGGATACCACCCCTTGACCACTTCAGAAAAGGGTATTGAATTACATTTCGTATATAGCAAGTTAATCTTATATATAATTATATCAAGAGTCATGAGGACAGTATCTAGCTAATAATGATGCCATTAAGTGGCATAAATTGATAGTGTATTCGCTCCTATAAATGGCATGGATATCGCAAAAGAAGAAATAAAAATTGGGGATAATATACAGGTCCATGAATTGGTATATAATAGTGCTAAGCCGACTTAAAAAAACACTGGAAATGGTGAATGGTGTACATAAACGGGAGAAGACAGTAGCTGATTCAAATGCGGCTGGAACTGTGAATAGACACTTCAACGATGAAGAGTTGCTCGAACTGGCCTGTCGTCTCCCCAAAACTGGGCTGGGTCGAACTCGACCATTCCATTTGTAATATGATAGCGCACAACGTGTGGTAGGAATGTTTTCCATTCCTTCACAGTATCCGGAAGCCCGCGTCGCTCCCATTCATACTTGGTGCCGGTCCAACGCCTTCGAAGAAGCATGAATAAAGCCCAGGTCTGAAGATAATCAAGTTCTCGGCATGTGGCCATATGAACGACCTGGAATCGATGGTATAAATCCCAATAAGACTTTGGTGCGGTGGGGGGAGGTGTAAGAGACAGAGGGTTGACACGGCGTACGCCGCGCGCTGTAGTCTGTGCTGGGCAAGAAATGTTCTCACTAGAAACATTGTTGTCTCCAAGCTCTAGATCCTTCCAGGCCTGAATGAGCTGTTTCGCCAATACTCGCCGCTTGGAGAGGGTCGTTTGGAACATTTTTCGGCCATCACGCATGAAGTCCTCGGTAGGGTCTATCGCTTGGCGACCCCAATTTAACTTTGCAAGAACATCGTACACCTGTAGCGTGGGCTTCATGTTGTATGGTTCTGAAGTCATTGTCTTGAAAATTCCAATCACAGAGTCCTTGGGGATGTGGCCGATCATGTTCTCTGCCACATTTTGTCCATATCTGTTGGTAGAAAGAATATAGGACCACACAAACAGTTCCATCCAGGTACGTTGTGGTATAGGGACGTTGTAATTGACGGAGATGAAGTCAACCAACTGTAGCGCAGTAGGGATATCATTGTTCGTACAGAATATATGGGCCACGGCAAGTAAAAGTTCTTCGGTAGGGTGTAGGGGAGAAGATGGGTGATAAAACGTTACTGGGGGGAGGTCATCGTCGCCTTTTTGCAAACGGTTCGCATCAATATTCCAGACAGTTTTCAGAGTATCCTTGACAGCTGCAATGTCCCATTCACGACCCGATGCTATCATCAGCTGAATGAATGTGGACTCATTAGCATCCAGACCATCCACGACCATGTCTTTAAACAAGCTATGCACTTCATCACGCACGCCATCCTTTCCCGTTTTGTATCCTCTATAATTCGGATTACTGGTTTTAAATCGTCTTTTCCTGTAGATCCAAGGTGTTGATCTCAATGAATGGTTCTCCTTGGGAATGAAGGCCATATTCCAGACTTTAGCCTCCATGTAGTAGTTATAACACAGTACATCTGGTGTGACTCCATCGGCAATCATTTCCTCCCATAGAGTATTTGCCATGGCTTCATCTCCCATAGAACGAGCACAATTCAGCAAATGGGTATACTCTGCAAGCCCTAGCGTATGTCCGGCGCGACGCCGCGCTTCAACAATGGTTCCTAGGTTTTTCGCAAACCTATCAAAGATTTGTGCGAGCGGTTCAACCTTGGCATAATGGGCGGCAGAAGTATGGAAGCTCCGTTGGATTTTCCTCCATGGCTCAACAAAATATGCTGGAGATAACAGCCGGAGAGCCTCTATGAAAGTGGTAGCAGGCAATTGACGCATAACGTAATCGTAATTTCCCGGATCAAGGAATATAGCCATTACTTTGTCCGGTTGTCCTTCTAAGAGAGCGGCATGAATATATTCTTCCCGTCTTCGAATGGCGGCCTGAGCTGAATCCTCTTTCTTGGACCCAGGAGTCTTGACCTCCCAGGCGAGTTTATCATTCTCCAGCGGCAATAGTGTTTGATCAGTGTCAAATGGGCTATCCTGGGGCTCTTTCGACTGCACAGCGGAGTGCACGAACCGGGTGGCTATAAACTTCCATTTGTGTGTGCTGGAGGGGCGTAGTTTTCGAAGAGAAGGGCGAGAGGAGGTATGGATAGCCTGTAGCTGATTCCGCGAGACCTGAGAACGGCGGATGCTGGATCCACGGCCGCCATTGAAGCCGACTATCCGCCAGCTACATGACGGGCATATGTACTGGGAGACGAGGTTCTCGCCTAGTAGAGTTGTGGCACGCATTAATTCACGAGGACGCTCTCTCCATGAAAGTAGCTGGCAAGGCAGAGAACAGTGGGCAATCGGGGAGTCTGTCTCCTAAAAGAGACGACGAGATCAATTGCTGGCGTGAAGCAGACCAACTACCAAAGATATCGACGAGGAGGAGAACGTGAATGCGATGTTGAAGAGCTTTTTGAGTTGCCGTTTTTGGATTTTCGCTGGAGCAGTTGCGCTAGTCCCTTTTCGGCGATCGCTCGTCTTTCTTATCATTTTGTCTGTTGCGGCTTCAAGCAAGAAGAAGCAGAAGAAGACATTCAATTTGTGCTTCGTCTTGAAACTTCGACTGCGCAGTTTACGATTACGATGGCAGCTGTAGACGATGATGGAGCTGCTCCCTCCTTTTCGGAGCCGTTGGATCTCGTTCGGCTGTCGCTTGACGAGGTCGTGTTTGTGAAGTTGCGCGGGGACCGCGAGCTCAAGGGTCGGCTTCACGTACGTTTGATTGACAATTGCGTTGCACTTCAAATTAAAGCAGCGGTCGTACTGATGTCATGATGTTATTTAGGCCTACGACAGTCATTGCAACATCGTTCTCGGTGACGTGGAGGAAACCATCTATATTGTTGAAGAAGATGAAGCTGGAGAAGAGACCATCAAGGTATATAGAGCCTCTAGCGGCTGTAGATTGAAATCAGGAGCGGAAATTAACTGCTTTACAGACGATCAAGAAGCAAGAGGAAATGTTGTTCGTCAGAGGTATGCTATATCATCCCTTAGTGTTCCCATTTCGCTATATGCTAATTGTATGACTATTCAATAGGCGACTCAGTTGTACTGATATCACCACAGTCTCCATCAAGCTGATAGGAGTGGAAATGGTGACAAGCATCAGAAACCGATACCGATGGCCAAAGCCAACGACTCATGACTGTGAAAAAACTGAGTATTATCTGTCATCACAGGGCCCGTATTGGGACACCCTGAAATCAACCAACAAACTCCTTAGTAACTCGTGGCGAGACTATATTTTATATTCTCTTGAG